AAAAATGCTGCTATTCTGGCATTTTAATAACAAATATTTGTAAAAAAATATTTATCGAGCCCAAAGTGATGCTGGGTTACCACTGATTATCAAGTTGGAATTAATTAAAATTAATTCTAGGTTGGTGTGGTGGACACCATATCTGCTGCTTACAAAATTGGTTTTCTAATTGTATTAGAAACACAAGAAAGTGTGTGTGTACTAACCAGGAAGTTTTTAGGATACTTACTGGATTAAATCGTATTGATTTTAGCTTAATACAGAATTGTGTGCATTGTCCCATGTCAATTTTTTTATAAACTTTTTAAAACTACTGTTTTCTCTATTTTGTACATATGTTCCTTGGGTGGACCTCTATGATATTTGATCATTTTGTGACAATATCTTCAATTCTCTATTCTTAGTGAATATTATTGTTAAAAGTACAGAACATTATCAACTTTGTTTTTGGGAAGACAGTGGGGCTATTTCAACCATTAGGTCACTTGTTTTTCAAATGACTTTTTGAAAACTACTAACTCTATTGCTCTTACACTTAGTACCTGTTGGGTTTCAGTGCGCAACATTTGGCGGCACATACCTATACAGCCATAAAGTTAAAGGGGGGGGGGGGGTTGTTGTTCCTGTATGTTTAATTGTGCGGATTTCACAGATTATAATTGTTTGTTGTAGAGGTATGCTTTTGTTTTCCTGAAATTGGTAATACATTACAGTAAATTGAAACCTGAAGTATTTGAGTCAAGTTCCAGTGTTAACTTTGCAGTAATTTTTGACTCCCGTGTGCGAAGCACAAAAGAGGGAGTCTTTGCAGTTACCCTGTCTGTATGTATGTATGTATGTCACTTTTTTTGTTCCACCGTTATCTCAAGAACCACTAATCAAATTTTGGTGAAACTTGGTACATAGATGCTCTGGGATAATGCGCAAAGTTAGGTTTTGGTAAAACCATGAATATTAATTACCTAATTTGCATGGTAATTAGCTGATTTTTAGCTGTTCCACTGATATTTGAAGAACCACTCATTGGATTTTGGTGAAACTTGGCACATGGGTGCCCAGAACTAATGCGCAGATTTGATTAGTTTTGGGTATAAATCTATGAATATTAATTACTTAATTTGCATGATAATTAACTGATTTTAAGCTGTTCTATAACTGTTCCACTGATATTTGAAGAACCACTCATTGGATTTTGATGAAACTTGGCACATGGATGCTCTGAACTAATGCGCAGATTTTATTAGTTTTGGGTAAAAATCTGTTTATATTAATTACCTAATTTGCATAATGATTAATCAATTTTCGGCTTTTCCACTGATATCTCAAGTACTAATCATAACATATCAATAAAAATTGGTACATAGATGTCATATGACACTGCACAGACCTGATAGTTTTTAGGGTAATATCAGTACATATTAATTACTTAATTTGCATAATTAATTTTCAGCTTTTGATATTTCAAGTAGTAATGATCACGTTTCAATGAAACTTGGTATATAGTTACTGGAGGACTGTGCAGAGACCTAATTAGTTTTTGGGGAAATATTTGTGCATATTAATCACCTTATTAGCATAATTAGTTAATTTTCAGCTTTTCACCTGATATCTCAAGTACTAATCATCACATTTCAATGAGACTTGCGACATAGATCTAGGAATATGCAGAGACCTGATTAATTTTCAGATAAATTACTATTAATTACCTAATTTACATAATTAGTTATTTTTTTGCGGTTCTATGGCTGTTGCACTGATGTCTAAAAAAAAACACTCAATGGATTTTAATGAAACTTTTAAAGAGTACCCATCACATTTCAATGAACCTAGGACTATACACCATATTAGTTTTTGGTAAATATTTATGCTTCTTAATCACCTAATTAACATAATTAATACTGATATCTCAAGTATTGATCATCACATTTGAATAAAACTTGGTACATAAATGCTCTAGGACAATAGACAGGCCTGATTAATTTTGGGTTAAAATCTGTTCATATTAATTTTCTGATTAGCATAATAATTAATAATTTTTTGGTTCTAATCACATTTCAATGAAACTTGGTACATTGTGCAGACCTTATTAGTTTTACACCTAAATCTGTTCATATTAGTTACCTTATTTGCATTATTAGTTTTCTGCGTTTCCATCAATATCTCAAGTTCAAGTAATTTTGAATTATTTTTTATTGTGTCTCCAATACTCTCAGCAAACGGGAGTTCTTTCTAAGCTTCCTTTGATTAAGACATCATTTTCCTTGTACTGAATATTAAAAACACAAAACATATTAGCTACTGTTAGAAGTTATAAATTAACGTTGATAATTAACCTGTGGGGGCTAAGTGAATTTGATGTGTTGTTTAAAATTAATTAATCTAATATTATAACTTTATATAGAGCGAAGCTACTTAAATGAAACCAGAGACACAAACAAATATACTAAATTTGTACAACCCAATCATGCTTTTTAGTCCCTGTTCAGAAGCAGTGTGATGTGAATGTGGTTCTCGTGCCATATCTCTGACTTGCTTTGACTGATTTCGTTCAAATTTTCAATATTCATTATACATCATGTCATAGATATACAGATATATTGGTTTGACGTTCCTATTCAAAATCATCAAATATCAAGCGTTTCTGGCATTTACCGGTATGGATGGATTTCGTTCAAACTTATAACATACATTAGACATTACGGGCTCCTAATGCACGTCATTTTATTTTTCAGATCGGATTCAAAATGGCTGACTGGTGGCTATTTTGTTTTAATGATTGGGCTTCCAGAGCCATATCTCCGACATGCTTCGACTGATTATGTTCAAATTTTATATATTCGTTATACACCATGTTATAGATATATACATGTATTCAAAATGGCTGATTTTGTTTTAATTAATGCTGTTCCAGAGCAATATCTCTCAATATGGACAAGTACAATGTTAAAAAATCATATTCCTGACATGGTTATATTCCAGCTATATTACTATGAACAAAACTATATATCTTAAATTTGATAACTAACGGGGACTGTGCCATGCATGGCTTGTTAAAAAAAGATTTGTGATGTATAATAATTTCCATGGTAAATAAGTTGTATCATTTACTCCCCCCCCCCTCTTATCATTACATGTAAATTAGTATCATCACAAATATACACAAAAAATCACTTGTATAATACTTCCAATAATGGGCTGGGTAGGGGTGTATATTTCTTTCTTCGACGCGGTCTACTGCTACCCCCCCCCCCCCAAGTTACACGGCGTCTGGCGCCTGTCTGCGGGTATGCATGGTGAAGTGCGGACGCGCAAAGATAGGGTTGGAGAATTTTGCATAAGAATGACTCCACGATTTTCCGCCTTCCATCCCAATGCGTGACATTGTTACGTTTACGCTCGGTGCAATGTTATGACTGTGCTGTGGTGTCGCAGGTGAGACATGGTTCGATTTAGACCACGTCGATTCGTGGTGTCTGGAACACTCGTAGTATGTGCGTTGTTAATGCTCAGGTCGATTTTGTTAGTTGGCGAAGTTAAGCCAGAAGAAATCGGTCATCGATACGACAGATTACAGGTAAAGTCATTGAATACGCACACTGGCTTGAAGTGGCCAGTGTGCGGCGATGTTCAAAATGGCGACCTTCGCAACATTTCAATATAAATAATGTACATTTCATGTTGCTTTTCATGTGGCGATACTCGTTTTCACACTTATTGCTGCGCATGTTATACACATGCACATAGAACTGATTCGGACAAAACACATGGGAATGTAAATGGTAGAATAGCAGACATTCGTATATTCATGACCTAGTGTTCTGGTTGACCCCTATTATTTGTCAGTGTATGTGCGATGCGTGAGACCACAAAAAAGGTGGAATTGCTGCAATGCACTGGGAAAAAAAACTCACAAGACCATCTATTCTCGTGTGTGTGTGTGTGTGTGTGTGTGTGTGTGTGTGTGTGGTGGGGGATGATCGGGTGGCTATTCTATTCTATTCTATTCTATTCTATGACACGTCATCTTTACTTTCCTCTGCCCTCTAGAAACAGCTGTCTCCGAGCTTCGACATCAAACTCGTGAAACCAGGTTCCGTGTCTCTGGGAAACGTCTTCAAGTCCAGAGTCTTGGGGAACTACGAGAACCTGCCGCCTTCGCAGGAGGGGAGAACAGGCCCGGGGGAGTATGCAAAGGCGGTGAAAACCACCCCTGATGAACAGAAACAAGTAGATCGTTCCATCAACGAGTATGGATTCAATCAGTACGTCAGTGATAAGATATCTCTGGACAGAACCATAAAGGACTTGAGGGAAGAACAGTGAGTAATGATAATAATTAGGGGTTCCCAATTTTGGTAAGTGGGGATAGTGTTGTGGTTGAAAAGTATAATGTAAAAGAATTGCTACAATTGTGATCACCAGGTGTGTGCGAGTATTTTTAGTAAACCAATTCTCTCTTTTCACTTCTTATTTAACACATACTATCTCTCGGAGTAACAAATGCAGACATTAAAATAACCCTTGTCAGTTATTTTTTTAAACATATACAGTGTTCACACTAGAAAAGGTTACTCCGGCGTAAATTTCGCCCGGTACGGTGTTCACATTTGTTTTTTAACCCCCTGCTTTACGCCGCCCACGTAACTTAGGCCGACCATGGAGCTAAAATCTTATTTTAGCTCCATGGGCCGACGTAAAGATGTGTAAAGCTGTAATAGCTGTAACTTTCATCTTTTTTGTCTCTGACTTTTATTTTTAATTTAAATCACTTGGAAGTTTGGAATGTTGGCACCCTGGTCTCCACGGGGCGCCATCTAATTGAAATTCAGTTTTGTCAAGCGAACCTCAGGAATTACGGTACAAGATGACAACTTTGAATTTGATACGCTATTTTCTCGAATGACTTGTTTATTTGCGTATATGTTAGGTGTAAATATTGGCATTACCCAGAATCCTTGCCCGCCGTTGGAGTCATCATTGTCTTCCATAACGAAGGATGGTCAACGTTGCTAAGAACTGTGCACAGTTTGTTCAATAGGACGCCACCAACGTTACTTCACGAAGTTGTTCTGGTGGATGACTTCAGTAACAAAGGTAAGATCTGTTTGATACAGAAGCACCACAATTCGCTCAGCATGATATGAAGACACCCCCCACCAAACCAGAAAATCCGATCAATGAGCACGCTGGCTCAATAAATACTATTGACCAGACCAACACTTAAAGCGCGGTGGTTGTCGCGCTGCACATGTGCGACATTTGTGTTGATAAACATTGATTTTCCCACAATCCAATGCGTCGATACCTTCCAATCACCTAAAAAGTATCTAATTGAAGCTTGGAAATGTCTCAATTTGTACTCGTTGATCTGCGCAACAGTCAAAGTCGCCATCTTTGTTTATAATAGACCCATATATCTCGCGCATGCGTGGCGCGACGACTACTGCCCTTTAAACTCCACCTCAAAACAATCTGCATGTAAGGGAAGAATATTAATTTAAAATTGATTCACTTCTCTTTCACAGAGCACTTACGTGAAAGATTAGAAGAATACGTAAAAGAGCCGCGTTTTCTTGGTAAAATAAAACTTGTTCGCAACGCAAAACGCGAAGGTCTGATCCGTACACGTACGGTGGGCGCGATACATTCAACAGCCGATGTCCTAGTATGGCTCGACGCACACTGTGAAGTTGGAATCAACTGGTTACCCCCGCTGTTGTCGCCTATTGCTCAGAATAGGTAAGTACGTAACTTGACGTACGTACGTAATAAAAGAAACTCTGCAAGTGTATTTCCGTGCAATTGAGACGCCACAAGATGTTAACTATTCAGTCACAATCTGTTTATTCACAGGACGACCGTAACTGTCCCAATTATCGATGTCATCGACAATATGGACTACACAATGAGGTCACAGGGCTCGGGAGAGCTATCCCGAGGTGGATTTGATTGGAGTTTATATTGGAAGCATCTGCCAATGAGCAAGGAGGAAACAAGAAAACGAAGCCTTTCCAGTGAGCCATATCGGTAATTTTGTAAATACAGTATAATTGGCACACAAATGTAAAATATACACTAATTGTAAAGTAGCTAATTCGGTTATGGTCAAAAGTTCAACTTTACGTCATTTGTAGGTCACCTGCTATGGCTGGCGGGTTGTTTGCAATGGCAAGGGATTACTTCTTCGAACTCGGCGCTTACGATCCTGGCCTGGAAGTCTGGGGAGGTGAAAATTTCGAACTTTCCTTCAAGGTAGTTTTTTTTTATTAATAATTGTCTCACAAAAAGTTGCTTTGAAAGAGTTGTATCGCCGGCAGCTGTTATTGTGTGAGCAGTTTACTATACTGTCAATATAGTAGATAGAACATTATGCAACGAATTTCCTAATCTAATTATATTTCCTTCGCAAAATAGATTTGGCAATGTGGTGGATCCATGCTGTGGGTGCCGTGTTCACATGTAGGGCACGTCTATCGTATACTTGGTAAAGTTCCCTACCGTGCTCCCAATGCCACTATGACGCAGTGGTCGCTCAGGGTAAGAGTTGTCATCGCTGTATTTCAGTTGTAATAAGTGTACTAATATATCCGAGCTCTCGTAAATGTTGGTGCTAAATTTTTGCTAATTTTTATGCATTTTTCTATAATTTGTTTAATTTTGGACCAGATAAACATAATTATACATATATTAATCAACATTTTAAACAATATATAGAAACAAATACACTGGTTTATTTTGTGAATGTGACAAAGATTGACATCGGCGGTCTAAGTTCAGTGACTGTAATATTTTATCCTGATTATAGAATTACAGACGTGTTGTCGAAGTGTGGATGGACGACTATAAAGAATTCTTTTATCGCAGTAAACCCGAATCTCAACTTTTACATTTTGGCGATATCAGCAAACAACTAGAATTTAAAACTAAACACAATTGCAAAAACTTTGATTGGTTCATGAAAGAAGTGGCTCCAGACCTTCTTGCAGTTTATCCCGTCCCTGCAGCAAATCAAGCCTGGGGAGAAGTAAGTCGGCGCTTTTATCGATCTATACTTTTATAAAATCAGAATAAATCTGTGTAGCATTTTGACTTTAGCACCAATGAAATTATAATTATAATATCGATTACTATGAAAAGTTATTATTGTTTTGCTTTTTTTACCCGAACTATTTCTTGACTCAAAGAAAAAGTTAACATTAACGCTAATATTTTATCCGTAGTCGTCGTTCAATGAAAATAATTTTTTTGAGAGATAAAAATATATAATATCATGTCATATACCAATAGATGCACCATCAAACAAATTTGATAGCATAAGATTTAAAATTAAAAAAATACAATTAACTGTGTTGAATCTCCATTTCAGATTAAGTCCAATACTAATAAAGTATGCGTGGATACGATGGGAAATAGGGAAGGTGGTACCATTGGTATCTCTGGTTGCCATGGACAGGGAGGAAACCAACTGTTTCGAATCACAGAGGATCACGAATTCCGAATTCACGAACTTTGTTTGTACGAGATATATTCCGAGGTGAAATTACGTCGGTGCGATGGAAAGTCCAAATACTCGTGGTTTTTTGATGAGGTACAGTGTGCTCAATTTGTAATGTGTACTAATTTTAACTCGTCATTTTCTAAAAACCGCCAAGCTATTAATTTTTCGGTTGCTTAAATTGTATCGGATAAAATAGGCTTCAAATCTTACGATCATGCCAAAGCATCTCACATTTAAGCAGCTGAACACTTGTATTCAACATTGTTCATATACATCTGTATTCAAGTTCGTTGTTCTCAGTACATGTATATGTATAACGATATTGTTTAACATATTAATTTGCATATTTTTTCTAAATATCAGACTATATCAGTAAAATAAGAACTCTGTTTTTGTCTAATGTCAACATTCCAATCATTGTGTCATCGTACCACCTCCTTGTCTGACGTGATGTCGGTACGTCGTGGCCATATACACTGTAAAACACGTCTTTTTAGCTAGCAGGGTATTTTTAGCTAATTTAGCTAATCCGTCTTTTCGCTAAAGTTCAAGATGTTGCTAATTTAAGTGAAGTATATTCCCACATTGATATTGTGGGGACACTAAAGCTAAATTAAGATTCTGTCAATTCATGCCTTGAGTCAAATTCGCTAAACTGTTATGTAACTTCTGTTGTGAAGATTGGTTAAAGCTGTCTCAGCACGTCTCAGCACAGTATTGGTGTGGAAAGATAGCCAACCTGCAGCGTCAACGGTGTCATTGTTTACAAGCAAGCGCCTACCCATGAGCCTTTGCGTTCTTAGCTTGGGCTCTATTCCAGCGCATGCGCAGGTGACGACCCTCCCACTTTAATTTGGCTACTATTACGGCATTATAACATTATAAAACGTCCTGGGTTGCTGCAAACAACTATATTATGGCGAAGAATGATTCCAGCTACGAATTCTAATTTCCGAAGTGTATTTACTAACGTTTGTCTTGTGTTTTCCGTTTCAGTCCAAAGGATGGATATCACTGAAGGATAAAAACTTGTGCCTCGAATTAAACTCTAATCTACGGCGATTATCCATGAAGAAATGCGACATATCTAATGGATTACAAAAGTGGATTATAAACAATCAATTAAAGATTTCCTGACATCTACATCATTTGTTTTATTTTATGACAAATTGTTTATTTTTTTATTATTTTCTGTCTATGCAAAACGTACCAGCGGCAATCATTTATCCGTTTTCTGTTCGAAGTTGTTTTTGTTGATGCTGAGCAGTGGGTTGTGATGTGATTGGCTGAAAGTAGGCGCATTGTTTGAAATGCAGATGATACTGCAAATGCATTGTAGGCTGGAGTTTATGTCGCGAGAGTAAAAGAAAAAAAGTATCGAGCCGCACCGAAGCTACGTACATGACGTATTTTTATTCCAGACGACAGCGGGCGCCGCATCGAAGCTACGTACATTACCTACTGTTATCTAGGGCGACAGTGGACGACCAAAATAACCTATTTACATATATCTGAAATGTACCAACGATTACTATTTTTTCAGGCAACATTTCGAGTCAGGCAGCTGGCAAACTATTTGGATGTGTTGTTTTCCGAATCATTTGTTACAGTATTTTTGAGAAACCAGGTGACGTGTTACGTTTCTCTACAGCAATAATTAATATATACACACGCTTAAACAGACTCTGTTCATCCTTGATGATTTTGTACTGTACCTGACTGTTTTTTACACTTACAAATAAAGTGTCAAACGACGTGATCTCTACTTGTTGTTCTTGTCTGATACTGATTGTTGTCAAAAGTGACCCTCGAACTGCCCTGTTAATCAGTTGCCCGAGATGATAGTGCCCCTATTTGCCCAATATTTCCGATGTGGTGGTGAAAGGGTACATTGACAAGCGCAATGTGTGTTTTTTTCTCTGTCAGACGTAAAGTTATATTTTTTTCGAGATTTGAATATCTCATTACCACATAGGTATGTATCAAGCAGTGTATGGTATTTTTGATAAATAGCGCCACCATCGCGAGATATGTGTCCTGAATGTTAGATCAACTATTGGCAACTTGAAAGACTTGAACTACGTCATACAAGTTCATTTCCATAACCCACCGAGTGCCCACTATAAAATGAATAGGGGTTTCCATGCTACGTACTCGACGTTTAAATGCTGGATACTTGAACACAAGCAGTGAGTTTTAACAACTTTTTCAAACAAAATTTGCAGTGAATTGCAACAACATACTAAACAAAATATAATCAATATTATTCCATCCGGAGAAGTGTGGCCAGTGTGCCCGGACTTTATCAAAAACGTGTCTACCCTAGTTTATATATTCTGATCCAACCTGGTGTTTTGTAACTGTATAACCAGAGGGCGTGGCATATTCAAAATAAATCCAACACTAAGTTTTTTAACGATGAGTAATAATAATATCTGGTTGTGTCTGGAGTATTATTAAGAGATTAGCTTACACAGGAGTTGTTACAAACTGATTCATAACTTTATAGTAGGGAATAGACTTACCTTGCCTATAAAATAATAAGTTTTTTTCCAACCGTGTAGAAAGGTTTACATTTCTAATTTGACTTTTAATATATGAAGATGTTTTGAATGTTGTGCACACATTATAATACAATGTATATCTCGTTGTTAACACGGTCTGTCCCCAAAGTAGTTCACGAAAAAAAAAAAAAAAACGTGTTCCCTTGAGCTCATTGGTTAATTGACAAACACAGACAAGTTCACGACAGTTCACGAGTCAAAGGCCAACCAACTGGGAACTTAAAAATCAGGTAGGAAAGATGACATCCAACTCAGTCCCTAAGTTTGAGACGTTAGTGGTATCCAATCCGAGGGAATATGTATACAGAGTGGAATTGAACAGACCGCATAAACTGAACGCAATGAACGACGTCTTCTGGCGGTGAGTAAAGTCCACAACACTCGTTTATTGTCCATTTCAGAAATATGCATATATATTAGTATAAATATGTGGTGTATATTTCTGAAATGAATATATAACTGATACACTACACAGCGCATGAAACGTGACATAATCGTATTGCATGCATGACCTTCAAATGACCTGGCACCTCTCCATCTCCGTAAACTAGGTCATTGAGTTCCGAAGAGGTACCAAAGCGCACACACTGCTCGGACAGGCGTCCCTACACACATCGCTATCGCTCTGTTCACGTATAATTTTTCGGTAGATACCTTGCCTTCGAATATTGTATATTTAGTCATCGTTTCTTTCATTCCAATTTGTCAAAATTAGTATTGAATATTGTACTTATTTGAGGAGAGGGTAGTTTGATTTACAACAAATATTATAGTGTAATTTACATTAACCATAATATATATGTTCATTCAAATGTAGGTAAAACATTGTGACAGGAAATATACAAGTTAATTAATATGTATATGTTAATTTCAATAAAGGGAAATCTCAACGTGTTTTAATGGTATTGCAGAAGATCCTAATTGCAGGGTTGTCATAGTTACTGGTGCCGGTAGATTATTTACAGCAGGTTGGTGTAAATTCCCAAGAAGCGAATGTTCCAGGGAATGTATTTATCAGATTTCATCCTGGCCATTTTGGGGGATGTTTTATTACATTCGATAGACAAATTAGGATAGAAACTATTCATTCAATGAAAACTGTCTGTAAAGCAGAGACTGCTATTTTAATTGTGATCTCTATAATACAGGACTTGATCTCACCGATTCTCAAATCCTGGCATTTACTGATGTTCAGAAAGATGTTGCTAGGAGAGCAATGCAAGTGTTTGACGTCATCAAGAAATTACAAGAATCGTTCAGTTTTATCGAGAAGGTAAATACCGTATATTCACGTAACAATGGATTCTTGTGGGTACATTAAATGAGTATTAAACCACCTGTTTAATAACATTTATTGTTAAATATATATTTCTGGTTCAATGCTGACGTAAATCATATGTAACCATTTAGTACACGTTCGGTATTTCCAATGTGATTAAAATCAGATGTGGGTATTATTTATTTTTATTTTCCATATTTTATTTATTGTTGCTTATTTATGTCTATCTTTCGTTTTTTCTTGCCGTTATTCAGATATTTTATCTCGGTTGCCTTATATGCAATATCGTTCTCGGGTATTTAAATTGTTAAACAATTATCAGGGTTTATTGTATCTAAAGTGGAATTCATCTCAAAGCATTCTTTCATTAAACAAAATAAATACCGTAGCATTCGTCAGAATTGTCCAATATATAATAACTTCGAAATTTTGAAATATGATCAAACCTCTTTACCATAGGAACCAATTATAAATGGCTCAAAAATCGACAACTTGAAAATTCGCTGATGTTTGAAACATTTTTAGTTCAAAAAGTAGTTCGGTTATCACAATTTTGTAAGCAAAATACTATAAAATTAAACCAAATGGTAAAAGTTTGGAATATCTCAGGCTGGTATTTACATGGTAGCCAATTACCTCAAAACATATTGATACATTTCACGGATGACACGCGCCTGATTTTAAAAATAGATCAAATTGAATAGAATCCGCGTCAATAGCAGATGACTGTTGATTTATCAGTAAAATTATTGTATGTTCCTTTTTGCAGTGCCGTAAACCTGTGATAGCGGCCATACATAATGGGTGTGTAGGTGGCGGTGTAGACATGGTGGCAGCTTGTGATATCAGACTGTGTACAGAAGACGCATGGTTCCAAGTCAAGGTGAACAATGTTTTGATATCTTGTTTCCACACCGCTAACACGTGATAATACCAGACATACGAGTGAATTTTAATTCTCGATATTAATGTCTGACTTGGTGTAAAAATGGACCCACCAGAATTACTAAAATAGACGATTTCTTATAATTAACGAGCACTCGTTCCATATCTTTACCATCATGACACCAATATCAATGCGCATGCACAGTAGTAACCATTATCATTGTTTATGTCCGTCCCTGCACAAGGAGGTAGATATCGGTGTGGCAGCGGATGTTGGCACTCTACAAAGACTCCCGAAGATAATAGGAAACGACAGCTTAGCAAGAGAGCTGGTTTACACGGCGAGAAGACTTCCAGCAACAGAGGCCAAGCAATTGGGACTTGTCAGGTGATAATAGTATTATTTTATTAGCATATTAATATATTATTGTTAATTCAACGTATGCATGATTTTGAAATATTGAATAATAATAATTACAACAGAGATTAAAACTGGTTTGCAGAAGATGTGTAATTTGTAAAGGCACCAGTATTTCATCTAATTTATTTATTGGATAGAATTGTTCATGTTTGTTGCCATGACACTGGAAATTACGTCATTAGTTGTATGAAGTAATTGACTCATGGCTACGGGACTCGTTTCTTAGCGACATCTGAAATTGTATTTTGACGGTGTGTGAATACCAGCTGTAAGATTAACCGATATCACAATGCCCGATAGACAAATACATTTTATGCAAAATCACTGTTTATTTATTTATTTATTTATTTTGTCCAACATTTAAAAAATAAATTCGTATCGTTTGCAAATTTGGGGAGTTTGAAAAAAATG